TTATTAAAAAGGAAAAATTCACTTGAAAATATTTATCGTCTAAGTAAAACTGCAGATGTTCAGAATATTATATTGAAATTCTCTTATAATTATCAAACATTAAAAGTAATTATAACTACGAAAAAATACTTAAAACTTCGTAGTAGAACGAATCAAAATGGAGAGTAGAGTTATAACAAGCGCGTGTTCATTCCGCAGAATGAATAGAATCATTGGTAGAATCATTAAAATAAAAATGTTGAATAACTAAATGTATTCTTCTCCATTCTCCGATGGAGAAGCAAAATGCTCCTTAATAGAATAAATAAAAGGTGACCTTAGTCAATTAAAATAATCAAATAGTTCATAATGACAATTAATCTAAATTTGTATTGTTATAACAATTATATTTAATTAAGTAGAGCGTGTTGTCTATATTTATTTTGATGTGACGTCACATTTCTCAACCCCACCCCCCTCGTCACACATCGTCACAAATGTCTGACCCGCCCCCCCCCCAGGTGCGTGACGTCATTTATGGACGGCCCCTAAACATCGCCACTGGGGAGACAAAGGCGGCCGGGCGTGGTGCTGGTCACCCACCCCCTCGTGTGCTGTGCCGGCCTTCATAGGTGCTACTCGCTAACAGCACTTGCCCCCACAGTCTGTTTAGGCTACACGGGGGATCTTTGTCTTTGTGTGTGCGCGTGTGTGTGCATGTGTGTGTATGTGTGTGCACGTGTGTGTGCATGTTTGTGTGCGTGTCTGTATGTGCTTGTGTGTGTGCATGTGTGTGTGCACGTGTGTGTGTTTACGTGTGTGTGCACCGTGGGGAGTGGTGGCGCAGCGGTTCGCGCTCTGCGCTACGAACCCGGTCAGCCGAAGTAGATTCCTGCTCGTGACCATCACCACCATCACCACCATCACCACCATCACCACCACCATCACCACCATCATCACCACCACCACCACCATCACCACCACCATCACAACCACCACCACCACCATCACAACCACCATCATCACCACCACCACCACCACAACCACCACCACCACCACCATCACAACCACCACCATCACCACCACCATCACCACCACCACCACCACCACCATCACCACCACCATCATCACCACCATCATCATCACCACCACCACCACCATCACCACCACCATCACAACCACCACCATCACCACCACCATCACCACCACCACCATCACCACCACCATCATCACCACTATCACCACCATCACCACCACCACCACCACCATCATCACCACCATCACCACCATCACCACCACCACCACCATCACCACCATCACCACCATCATCACCATCACCACCATCACCACCATCACCACCATCATCACCACCATCACCACCACCATCATCACCACCATCATCACCACCACCACCACCACTACCATCACCACCACCACTACCATCACCACCACCACCATCACCACCACCATCACCACCACCACCACCATCACCACCATCACCACCATCATCACCACCACCATCACCACCACCACCATCACCACCACCATCACCACCACCATCACCACCATCACCACCACCATCACCACCATCACCACCACCACCATCATCACCACCATCACCACCACCATCACCACCATCATCACCATCACCACTCACACATAGACCCATAGACTCACACAGAGACACACAGACTCACACAGAGACCCATAGACTCACACAGATACCCATAGACTCACACAGAGACCCATAGACTCACACAGAGACCCATAGACTCACACAGAGACTCATAGACTCACACATAGGCTCATAAACTCACACAGAGACACATAGACTCACACAGAGACCCATAGACTCACACAGAGACACATAGACTCACACAGAGACACATAGACTCACACAGAGACTCACAGACTCACACAGAGACTCATAGACTCACACAGAGACCCATAGACTCACACAGAGACCCATAGACTCACACAGAGACCCATAGACTCACACAGAGACCCATAGACTCACACAGAGACCCATAGACGCACACAGAGACCCATAGACTCACACAGATACCCATAGACTCACACAGAGACTCATAGACTCACACAGAGACCCATACACTCACACAGATACCCATAGACTCACACAGAGACCCATAGACTCACACAGATACCCATAGACTCACACAGAGACCCATAGACTCACACAGAGACCCATAGACTCACACAGAGACTCATAGACTCACACATAGGCTCATAAACTCACACAGAGACACATAGACTCACACAGAGACCCATAGACTCACACAGAGACACATAGACTCACACAGAGACACATAGACTCACACAGAGACTCACAGACTCACACAGAGACTCATAGACTCACACAGAGACCCATAGACTCACACAGAGACCCATAGACTCACACAGAGACCCATAGACTCACACAGAGACTCATAGACTCACACAGAGACCCATAAACTCACACAGAGACCCATAGACTCACACAGAGACACATAGACTCACACAGAGACTCACAGACTCACACAGAGACTCATAGACTCACACAGAGACCCATAGACTCACACAGAGACCCATAGACTCACACAGAGACCCATAGACTCACACAGATACCCATAGACTCACACAGAGACTCATAGACTCACACAGAGACCCATACACTCACACAGATACCCATAGACTCACACAGAGACACATAGACTCACACAGACACCCATAGACTCACACAGCGACACATACACTCATACAGACACCCATAGACTCACACAGAGACCCATAGACTCACACAGAGACCCACAGACTCACACAGAGACACATAGACTCACACAGAGACCATAGACTCACACAGAGACTCATAGACTCACACAGAGACTCATAGACTCACACAGAGACCATAGACTCACACATAGACTCATAGACTCACACAGAGACCCATAGACTCACACAGAGACTCATAAACTCACACAGAGACCCATAAACTCACACAGAGACCCATAGACTCATACAGAGACCCATAGACTCACACAGAGAACCACAGACTCACAGAGAAACCCATAGACTCACACAGAGACCCATAGACTCACACAGAGACCCACAGACTCACACAGAGACCCGTAAACTCACACAGAGACCCATAGACTCACACAGAGACCCATAGACTCACACAGAGACCCATAGACTCACACAGAGACACAGAGACTCACACAGAGACCCATTTCTGTAAAACTGCTTGTCGTGTTTAATGTGTCGTCCTTTCCCCCCGCACCTGCGAGTAACGCGGTTGTCTACGTGGGGTGGTGCGAAAGAAGTTCGACCACAACGGCGTCCGCACATCAGCCTCCTCGCCAACCGCACTGATGACCTGCGAGGGGGAGGTATGGCGAAACGTCAGGCACTGCAGGTGTAGGACAGCGCCACTGGGGGAGAGACAAAGGCGGCCGGGCGTGGTTCCTGACCGACCCCACGGCCCTCGTGCGCCACTGTGCCGGGAGCCTTTGCACTTGCCCCGAAAGGTCTGTTAAGGCTATCAGGGGGACCTTTGTCTTGTGTGTTTCTGTGGGGAGCGGTGGGTGTAGCGGTTAGCGCGCTGCGCTACAAAACAGGCCACGCGAGTTCGATTCCCGCTCACGGCCAACACCGGTGACGATTATCTGAACCGGTCCTTGGGTCTCCCTTAGGTCGACTCAGCCTCAAATGAGTACCTGGTGCGATGTGTGGTCAACATCGCCACTGGGGAGACAAAGGCGGTCGGGCGTGGTGCTGGCCACCCACCCCCTCGTGTACCGTTCTGGCCGTCACAGGTGCTACTCGCTAACAGCACTTGCCCCAACAGTCTGTTAGAGGCTACACGGGGGATCTTTGTCTTTGATGTGTGGATAAGTCCGTGTCAGGAGGTCCGCCTTTTAATGCCTTTACCGTCACACTCAACGCCAGGCAAATTACTCGGTTCACCGATGATGATTGTGTCTGTGTGATGATGATTGTGAGTGTGTCTGTGTGTGTGTCTGTGTGTGTGATGATGATTGTGTCTGTGTGATGATGATTGTGTGTGTGTCTGTGTGTGTGCGTGAGTGTGTGGGGAGCGGTGGGTGTAGCGGTTAGCGCTCTGCACTACGAACCTGGCGAACCGGGTTCGATTCCCGCTCACAATCAACACCGGTGACGATTATCTGAAGCGGTCCTGGTCTTCCCCTAGGTCGACTCAGCCTCAAATGAGTACCTGGTGCGGTGTAAACATCGCCACTGGGGAGACAAAGGCGGCCGGGCGTGGTGTTGGCCACCCACCCCCTCGTGTGTCGTGCCGGCCTTCATAGGTGCTCGCTAACAGCACTTGCCCCTACAGTCTGTTAAGGCTACACGGGGGATCTTTGTCTTGTGTGTGTGCGTGAGTGTGTGGGGAGCGGTAGTGTAGCGGTTAGCGCTACGCTGCGCTACAAACCCGGCCACTCGGTGACGATTATATGAACAAGTCTTGGGCCTCCCCTAGGTCGACTCAGCCTCAAATGAGTACCTGGTAAGGTGCGTAGCAAACATCGCCACCGGGGAGACAAAGGCGGCCGGGCGTGGTGCTGGCCACCCACCCCCTCGTGTGCCATTCATAGGCGCTGCTACTCGCTAACAGCACTTGCCCCTACAGCCTGTTAGAGGCTACACGGGGGATCTGTATCTGTTTGTAAAGACAAAGATTCCCCGTATAGCCTCTCGCAGGCAGCTGGGGCAAGTGCCCTTGGGTGCGTGACTCACTCCACACCTCTACAAATTACCGATGGGACGTTTTGTTGGCAGCGTCAAGAATGATTTGAAAACAAGACGAGGTTTTACTGATACAATGCGGCTCTGTCGCCAGAGCATCGAGTGGTGGTTGGTGCAGTCTTTGATGCCTTGCGAAAGACGGCCGACTCGACGATTGAACAAACACAACTCCTGTTTTATTGGCAAGAAAAAGGGGGTAACAACCGATTCTCGATTTTCACAATGAACGCAAAGACCCCGTTGAATTAATGCGCGAATATTTACGATTATAAATTAATTTTATTAGGATAACAACAATAATAATGATGATGATGATGACAGCGTGCAAAACTAATCCCTAATTAACTTGCCTAACACGTGAGGCTTTCGCGACCAATATCATCCGTAAGTGTTTTTTTTGGGGGGGGGTGGGGGGGTTAGATCGCGTAAATATACAAATGTGTCGTAAAAGCCGCCGCCACCACCCGGCACAGCCCGCGAGCAATGTTTGTCTGGCCCCCCGATAATGTCCGGGACACGCTCCGACAACTATAAAGGCAAAAGCGCCCCGTGTAGCCTTGGGCAGCCCGTGGGGGCAAGAGCCCCCATGGCAGGACGCGTTCCTGCCATCGTTGCGATCCATTTGCAGATACCCCAGTTGCCTGCCACGGGCGTCCTGGCTTGTAACCACGACCCTTTAATTTAACCTGCTGAGAACTTCGCTCACGAGAACTCCCATCGGCGTCCTTTATTTAACCACGAGTGAGAGGGGTCAATAAGATCCATTGTCTCTTGCGATCGGGGTCCTTTATTTCGCCACGCGATTAGCCGGACAGATGCCTTGTCTCACGTAATCGGCAACCCTTTATTTAACCCTGTTGGGTTCGTTACGTCCAGAGATTGACATCCTTTATTTAACCCTGTTGGGTTCGTTAAGTCCAGAGATTGACATCCTTTATTTAACCCTGTTGGGTTCGTTACGACCAGAGATTGACATCCTTTATTTAACCCTGTTGGGTTCGTTACGTCCAGAGATTGACATCCTTTATTTAACCCTGTTGGGTTCGTTACGTCCAGAGATTGACATCCTTTATTTAACCCCCAGCAGTGACGCGCTGCGTTATTGAGATTGGCATGAGACACGCGGTGGGGTATCTGCAAATGGACCGCTCGGCATATCCGTTAATCGCGTACAATCTAACGCGTTAATCTCTCACACTTTAACGAGGAACACATACAACAACAAGTACATCAATAGATTGTCCGATATATGTGTATAGATAAGGCCTGGCTTATTAAGTAAACGTTAACACGTTTTGTTTTTTAACATGAAAAAATACAAAGATCCCCCGTGTAGCCTGCAACAGACTGTTGGGGCAAGTGCTGTTAGCAGCGAGTAGCAGCAGCGCCTACGAAAGCTACGGGCACCACGCCCGCCCGACCGCCTTTGTCTCCCCCCCCCCTCAGTGGTCATGTTTACACAACGCTACCAGGTACTAATTTGAGGCTGAGTCGACCTAGAGGAGGCCCGGATTG